AGATAGATAGATAGATAGATAGATAGATAGATAGATAGATAGATAGATAGATAGAGATCATCCTCCTACTAAACAACCCACCTCTTTGCCACAGACGACGGCACAGAGGAGAACGGTTTGACCATTGACCTCAGTCCTGGGTCAGTATCGGGGCGAGGGGAGGACCAGGACAACACTGACCTCATGGACACTGACCACACAGATCACGTGGACACTGACCACACGGGAGAGGAGCCTGGTGACTCGAAAAGCGCGGGAAATGTGGACAGACCTGAGACGGAGAGGAAGGAAGACTTGGGTTCTGAGGACATAAGGTAAGGAATCATTTTTTTAATACATGCATATATAAATATTCATATATATTTTTTATATATAGGTATTTATATATATAATATCTATGTCTGTTTAGAGTCCACCTGTCTAAGACGATCAACTGTACAAACGACTGCTTCTTATGTCCCCTCTTGCGCTATTTCATTAACATCATAATGGCGCCGTCCAAAATATCAACCTGTCTAAGACAACCACTTTTCTCTTCGACAATAGATAGCTGTCTTAGACAATCTTGATCGTTTACATAATGATTGAAGCAGAGGAGAGTCGGTGGTTGGTGGGTGCTCTGATGTGGTTCACTCCTTTTCTATCTTTAATATAAATATATCGTTCTAATCTCATCTCTGTCTTTTCTCTGAATGTTATTATCCAGTAATACCTCTAATCGTTGGCATACAATTATAATATTATGACCTATTTGTGTTGTAAGTGCCGTAAAACTCTTTTACGTAAAAAAGATTGTAAAAAAGATCACCCACCCACCCTTCCCCGCGTAGTTGTAGATTGACTCACTATTACTATTTTCATTATTGATGTTGTTGTTGTTACTATTATAGTTATTATTATTATCAATATCCTTATAATTATTATAGTTATTGTTGTTATTGTTTTTGTTTTTTTTAACTATTGTTATTAATTTGTTGTAAAAAAAAATAATAATAAGAAGAATAATAACAATAATAATAGTAATAATAATAACAATGATGATGATAAAAATAACAACAATGATGATGATGATGATAATAATAATAATAATAATAATAAT